ACAAGAGCTCGCAATTGGAATTCCCGGCTGCTCGCCAGGAAGTGGTCAATAGGAAGTTCTGCTACGTGCACTCGCGTCTACGAGGCCGCGGAACGAACGGCCAGGAAACGTATCCGAGTGGGTTGAATCGAAACAATCGAGCCGCAAATACATTGTCCGCTGTGAATCCGCGTTGTCCATTGATTACAGAGGCATTCATCGTGGCTAATTGCCACGAATCGTCAGAGCCAGCCCCCTCTCCCTGCGTGTTTTCTACGTCTTCGAACCGCAAATCTCTCTCTCTCTCTCTCTTTTTCTTTCTTTCTTTCCATGTTGCAAGGTGAATCGTTTCAGGCAACTGTCGTTAAATGCTATTTTTTTATCGTCTATTCACCATTTGTTTCGATGCTCCCGGTATATTTTACACCCATGGGATGAGTCTTTTTTTCTTTTTTTTTTTTTATTGAAAATCGAACCGGCCAATCTCCGGCAGCAGGAATTTCATCAAATTTCAACTTTTTCCGCGCGATATCCGCGTTAATTAGCGGGATTATTACTGCCGCGGCTCCGCGATTCATTAAATAATCTATTGATTATCGTGCCAACGGACGTGGCTGTCTATTCAAATTATCTTTGGTGGTATAATAGAATTACGTATAATAGAACTTACAACTGATGAATCTGGTAAGTGGAAGGAGTGCGATAACTGGAAACGAATGTAAGTACGTTTGAAGTGATAGAGAAAGAGAGGGACAGAATTTCAATTTCCTTTTTTAAAAGAAACTATATGTTTTTGCATGTATGTATAATTATAATTTATAATTTTACATTTATAATTTTTAATTTTAATTTTGCACATAAACTATATGTTTTTGCATGTATGTTTATTTATAATTTTTGGTTTTAGTTTTGTATATATATAAATATATGTGTATGTGTGTGTGTGTGTGTGTGTGTGTGTATGTATATCCAATGTGTATCTTTTTATTCTCGTTGGAAAAGGCTAGTAGAAGCCATCGGGCTTATTGCCAAATGGAGACACTGTAAATCAACCAGAAAGGAAGAGAGAGAGAGAGAGAATTATTCATTTCTCACAAGTGGGTAGTCCTTCGAACTGCAAGGGATATGCACAAAGGATATACACGATCGTCACCAGTCGTGAGTGTCCTTAACCTTCCTATCTTTCCTTCAGTCAATACTTAAACCGTGGCTTGATTCAATTGCGCGAAACACGTTGCACAGGCGTGTCTGTAACAGTGACTGATTTTATTAGTTCGAATTGAGAAGTAATCTCGAATGAAATTGAAAAGAAGGGAAGGAGAATAAAGAGGCGACAGATTTAAAGAGAAGCGAGGCAAGAAGGGAAGAGAAAAACGCAACGAGCTGGAAAGAGGGAGTCTCTCAAACGCGAGAGAGAGAGAGAGAGAGAGGAGCGCAAAAGGGAAAACGAGGGAAGCGTGAGATGCGGAAATAGAGAGGGATCACTGTGGCAAAGGGAGAGGGGTTGGAACAAACATAAATCGAATAGATAAATCTCGAACTCGAGGGAAGCAGATGGGTAAAAATTGAAAGATCAAAGTGGCTGGCCAATGAAACGTTGGCGGAAAGAATTCCTCGAGAGGAGCCCGAAGAACGATATGTTGAGAGCACGCCAGCAAGATCGAAGGTCGGTGCGAAGATAGTGAAATGAAAAATTCCAGACGGGGAACGACAAACGCTGTGGAACGACGCTCAACGCTCGTTCGAGAGAAAACGTTGAACAAACATAAAACCGCTGTATCAGATCTCGCTCGTAACGTGTTGAACTAATTTCTGAACGACCTTGCGAACGACCGTATGGTGAAAGTGTCAAAGAAACTTGAGCAAACTGATCTTCAATGAATCGCGTTGGAATAATTTCAACGATTTAAAAGATAGTTTTGGATATTCTTCGGCAACAACTTCGAAATAATCGAACTTCGAGTGCATCTCCAACAATCTTCAAACGACTCTGAACGACTTTGGAACGACCTTCAACAACTAAAACAACCTTGAATGTTCTTCGAACAACCCTGAAACGATGTTGAGTGTACTTGGAAACGTACCTCTCGGAAAACGACGTTCGAAAGAGCTTTTTAATTGACCTCGAGCGAGTCCTCTTTGACGAACGTTGAAATAGCCCATTTTAATAACCATCAAGTAGCACTGAGTAGTTTTTCAGTTGGTACTCGTACTTTGACATCTCTCTTTCTCTCTCTCTCTCTCTTTCTCTCTCAAAGGAAGAGGACGATCGTGGAAAACGATTATCGAGGAAGCACGTTTTCTATCAGACTCGTTGTGCAGACCGGAAGAACGCCGATCCTCCGAGGTATTCGAGTGATCGATAATCACTGGGTAGCCTCGGAAGCTGTTCGATCTGGCTGACTATTTTTCTATCCGGATTTTTCGTTTCCCAGATACCCCAGACGATTAAGTTCTATTTCTGTTTTTGAAATACCTTTCCCGCTGGGAGCTTATGCTGCGATGATGCTCATCCCTCCATTACTATGAATTAAGCATTTCCGTGGGAGGCGTGCGTGCTTCGGACTGTGCCATTTCCAAGTAAATATCTCTCTTAACACTAAGAGTCTTTCGATGATATCGTTTCACGATAAACCAGAGGATGGTGATGGAGAAATTTCATCATTTTTGTTTCATCATTTTCTGCTACTGGATGACCAATCATTCCTGACAATCGGCTCAGTGTCAATACTGACAATGAGTCAGTGATAGTCCTGAAGTGATCTATCTGCGAACACTTATTTACAGGGCAAATTCTAATAGTTGATCGTTTACGTTCCTTTCCCTCTCCCTTCGATTTGTCAAAAAACATAAAACTGAAAAGATAAAGCAATCCACTCTTTTTCATCGAGTGGATTAGAGTCGTTGTAACATAATCTTTGACTACGGTTGTAACGTAGAATAAAACAGTGTCTTCCAACCACCTAAGTACATATCTCTAAAATCTTCATGCTCCACCCCTTGACATATTCTTATTGTTTAAAAGATGAATTTTTGAATGACGTGGAGGAAGCCTAAAAGGCCATTGACTTGGTCTAAACAAGCTTTCAAAGAAAATGACAGGAAAAATAATGAAAGAATGAAAAGACAGTTGAAGTACCTTGAAGAAATCACTTGAAGAAATTATTTTAAAAGATAACAAAATAAAATGACATGGTAAACAGCAAATAAAATTTTAAAACATATGAAAGAGAACCGAAATGCACAAATATAAAATAATTTTAATGGGAATGGCTATTTCTGTATACCTCGATAGCTTAAATTATTATAAAATAAAATAAAAGTATGAAAAAAATTCCGGTGCAAAAGATATGAAATGCAAAAAGTCCAAAACCATAAAGTCGCTGTTAGCACGCATTGTTAAATGATCAAGAAACTTTTTCGCCATTTTTTAAGAAAACTATTAGATTACGACCTATGGTGATGAGTAGAATACAACGCAAGAAAAAAAATTTTTAACCTTGAAATTCAAGGTCAAGGTCAATATTGCTACAGGTTCTTTACAATCGAGGGTGTAAAATTCATCTACGATAGCCTTTTACGGACAAACTTTTCTTTCCACTCTGTGCTTGGTAATTTTCCATAAACAGAAATCCGTGGTTTGGCAATAACGCGAAAAGTTCAAGTCCTGGAAACGTTGCTGAAACGCACAGGTTGTCGTAGAGAGCTGCGCGTGAAGTTTTCGGTTGGATAATCGTGACGAAGAAAGCAGGAGAAGGGGCGGGATAGAGACGGAGAAAGCTCAGATAAGCCGATGGCGCAAGATCCATTAATAAGGAGTGCCTGATTTCGTGAAAGCCCCCAGTGCCTCGAACTATTATCTAGGAAACGTAACTCGGTCGAAGAGCGATTAAACGGACGCCACCAAAATACGTCAAGTTGCGGCGGGCTGTGCCTGACAGAAAACCTATAGACGGAACAACCATTAATGAAATGACAAATGTGTTCTTGTCGGCGGCACACGAGCAGGCTCGAGCCCGCGCTCTTCGCGCGCACACAGCGAGCCCAACGTTTCAACAACAACGAGGTCCGACCGGCTGGCTACGCGGAAAAAATAAAATACAAAAATCCGACCGCGTGATTTACACGAGTCCATAATATCGCGACGAGCTCAATCGGCGCAACCGGCTCGATCATTCTTCAGCCGTCGTTCGGAATTCGCACGGACGACTTGGCCAGATTTATAGCCAGATATTGCGAGCTTCCACTCGATGATAACGTCTCGCCGTGAGACTTTTGACGAAGGGTTTAGATATTGATTATTTTGTCGATACGAAACCGACGAAAGTATTAGCTCCGCTCTATCGCGACGTTGTTACGACGGGTAATTTCTTCCGACGTTTCAACAGTTATAATGGAAAGTTCGAAACGGAAGACTCTCTTCTTCACGCGAAAGGACGCTAGAAATCTTCTATGCGCTCTGTTACGAGATGTTTTGGAATTTATACAGCTGTAACCGGGACACAATCTCGTCGTCACTTTCTTGGTAAAATTTCAGAACAATTTTGAAGTATTATTGCAAATAAAACACGTAGAACGATGACGGAAAATTTTCATTCACCGGATCTTGTGGAAGAGTTTCGTAACGCTGAAACTATCGACGATTATAAATTGCGCAAGTATTCAAACACTTAAAATTGAAAGTATTCAAACCCTTGTGAATCTACGAAATTAACAAAAAAAAATTAGAAAAAATACAAATCGGTCATTTCGATAGTTTTTCCAGCGTTGATAAAGCGTGTGAACGTAGCTTCTTACGGGGCAGTTGAATGCGGACGAGTGAGAAAACTGCGACTTTGTTTCTCTCTAATTTCCCTCGTTGGGGAAAGAAAACAGGATGGAAGGACAGGTTAACTAAGGAGGCGCATTAGATTCATTCCGCGAGGCTATCACTCGCTAACGTTCGGCTGAAACGAACGATGCGAGGATGCAGCTGACAGCTCGTTATTTAATTCAATTTCGTTTTCTCGTTTTGGTTCCAGGGGAGTTGCCAGCCGCGGTGCACGACGGTAACGGGGTCTCCAGGGCGTTCCTCAACCTGTGGCTAATTCACTTAACCATGAGCTACGTTTTTTCCAGATGACAATACTAAGGTGAGTCAGTTCATCATCGGAACGATCCCTCTGGAACCTTCCTTCGCGGGTTCCGTTCCGTTCTGTTCTCGCGGCCATCTTTATCCGCCTGGCGTTAGTTACAAGCTCCTAAGTTTTAAACCCCGGGACTGTAAAAGGCTGTAAAAGGTTTCAGTATTAATGTCGTTCGGACTTTGAGATTCAACTTTCTCGAGAGACACTCGACAGAGAAGTTTAAGCGAAACAAGCGATACACTTTTTCGTGTAAAATGGATTTTTTTTCGTAAAAGAAAAAAAAAGAGAAAGTTCTTTTGTTTTAAAGATTCGAACCTCGAAGATAAAATTAGTCCAATGTCGTGTCGTGTCGCGTAAATACGTTATGAAACCATCTAATCCGGCGAAACGGTCCCGAATCAACTCGTCCCGGCGAATCGATCGTGGCTCGAGGAACCGAAACGCCCGCCGCGGAAGCTCTCCGTTTCCAATTTGAACGCTCGTTCGAGCCGTTCGTTCCTGGAAACTGGAAGAAAGATCCAACCCTCGGATCCCGGTCGTTCAGCTGTCGGGATTCGATGATACGGTCTCGTTTCGAATCGAAGCGCGAGCTCAGTCGCTGCGAAAACTCAGGCAGGAACAGCAATCGTATAGAACCGTCCCCTCTCGCCGACTATGGTTATTACGACGATCGTGTTATTATTACGACTTCCGTGTTCGTCGTCCTTCGCCGCCGTCGCCGAGAAGTTTGTCTATTCGTGTAATTATTAATACCACGGCGTGTCGCTCGAATCGTTTAACATTCCGAGACTAGCGACAGATCCGAGAAAGCTGTCGCGATCCGCAATCGTCGTATTCCTTGCTCTCATTCTCCCAACCGACGATTATATCTGTCTCTCTGTTCTCTTTTTGACTTTTTCTTCTTTTCGTCGTCCACGAACGTTTTTTACCACCGGTGAAATTCTTTTGTACAAGCCCGGCTTTTTTCGACCGGTTGTCTTATTTCCCGCACAGCTTTCTCCTTTTTTCTCGCTCGGTGCGCCCGGTTACTCTGTTTTCTCAGTCGCTTCGCTTCTCCTTTCTCTCTCCCCCTCCCTCCCGCCTCACTTCCCTAGAAACGAGTAGGTTTGTTTGCGATTGGGACCCGTTTTCCTAGCCTTTCCGCCGAGGCTTTCTTCCTTCATTTCTGTCAACTTTCCTTGCTTTCTCTCTGTCTCTCTCTCCTTTATGTTCTCTTCGGTTTTTTTGCCCGGTGCGCTTTTCCTGACCCGTTTCCCCGGGGAGCCTGGATTTAGCGCTCCCTTCGCAACTCTCTGTTTCCGTTTCTTCCGTTTGCTCCCTTTTTATCTGCTCCCGAAGCTTTTCTCTTTTTTCTCTCCCTCTCCCCTGCCGTTGCTTCTATCCTGGTCATCCTCACTTTCCTCCACATCGTTTTATGATCTTCCTTTTCGGTTCGTCTGCTCCTTCTGTTCCGCGCGCCGCACGCTCTTTATCTTCAACGCTCCGGATTTTCCGCTTTGTTCTCCACTAAATTTCCTCCAGAATCGCTGGTCCAACTCCTTCCTCGCTTACCCCCCCCCCACCCCTCCCGCCGCGCCCGATGCTGTCTCGTCTCGTCTCGTTTCACAATTTTGATTCGATCTCTAGTTGACAAGGATCCAAGCATTCTCTTTTCTTGCGTTAGTCCCTTCGTATTCGCAATGTCTTTAATTTACCTCTAATCCGAGTTACAGATGAGTTGCGTCAAGTTCGCCAGTTAAATCCAGCGCCGACTTCCAGAAGAAAGCGCAGATATACTGTGACGATTCACGACACTGTTTAACGACTCTCGACTTTCAGTCACAGAAGGAAGAATCGATTGAGTTTTTAGAAAAGAATTCATTTCAGTCGTGACCACGTGCGCTGGAAACTGATTGCGGACCGTAACGAGTGACCAAACCGTATACAATAATTCGTCGCTTTCTTTTTGAACTCGTCGGTATGATATCACTGGCTAAAAATTATGAAGAAGTAATAAATTTATTATTTGTTTCGCTTCGGTTATACTTAAATATACTTAAAACTATGAGAATATTGCAATTTTGGGATAAAAGATTCTCGACGTGGGTGGCACGTCATTCCAGCACAAGAGGTTATAACCACTTGTAATAAATTTAGTATTAAAGTAATAATTTTAGTAGTAAAGTAATAAATTTATTATTTGTTTTGCCTATTTTGTTTTACTCAAATATACAAACTGAGAAAATATTACAATTTTGGAACAAACAATTCTCAACAATTCTTGTGCATTGCAGCGCAAGAGATTCATTTATTCATCTATTGTTTAATCACTAACATTGCCATTAAATAAATATTATTTATATTTTATCTCGACATATATTTTTTTACACGGTGTATCGAAATGCGAATGAACTCGCCTATTCCTCCATCCGTCTGTTTCGTTTTAAATTTTACAAAGGATCGAGTGTGCTCTGTACACGAGAAACGGAGAGACGCTTCTCGTGATACATCGGAAGGTATCACGCGCGACTCGACCTTGCAGGTAACAAGTTCAGCTCATCCGTCTCCGTTCGGAAAACTTTCGACGTGTTTCCGGCTCTTGATGGCCGCGGTTACCCGCATCCCTGACTAATTCAATTCGCCCGATTAAAATTTACAAGGGACGCCGGTACTTTCCCCGAGAAATTTGCCCGAAGTTCGGGAGGATCCCTTCAGTTTCGCCCCGTTTTAATAATAAATAATCGGCGGTCCCCTTTTCCTCTCTCCATCGCCAAATTCTTCCTCTTTGGGGCAAAGATCTCGGAAGTGAAACGTCTGTTCCCTGGCGATCGATGGAAATTGATTTCGAGGTCGCATCCACCTCGATCGATGTATAAAATTGCAAGATAACGCCTAGAGGAAGAGAGAGAGAGAGAGAGAGAGAGAGAGAGTGAGATTCGGTGTGATTTAAACCAGCTGGCACCGGTCATGGGAATCGAATCCATTTAATTGGATTTTACACGATTTACGTTTCATGACTCCGTGAGCCGGTGAAATAAATAGAACGAAAGGACGGGGCCTGCAAAACGCCCGCGCGAACGTCGTTTCAATCGTGCGCCGTTTACCATCAACGAATTAATCGACACGGTTCCGAATGAACCAAGAATTACTCTGCGAAACTGAGTGACAAATTCTCGAAAATATTTCGAGACTTGCGTTTCATTGAAAAAAATGGGAATAAATCTTTTCTTGCGCGAACTTCGAATTGTCGTAACTGGAACTACCAAAATGGTCAAAATGATCAATTTGTAATTTTTGTCACTCATGTATAATCTAGAGATTTAAATAATTTTTCGTAAAATGTGTACTTCGTTGTATTGTAAAGTTTTCTATTTTTTTTTTTTTTTTTTCTTTTTACATTAACATCTCTGACGAAATCGCCGATAGCGCTAGTATTAATATATAACATTCGCAAGTTAATCTAGATCTAGAAATTCAATTCTCGAATATTTTCAACTGTTCTTTTAAGACGAGGAGCAAAGTAATTCAAAGTAAGACGAGAACGAGTATCTCGCCGTAGTTCAAAACTTTCCCCTTATTAACAACACAGACGAAACCGCGAAAATCTCTCGGCGGAAACGGAACTTGGCCGTGCGCGTTTCAACCTCGAAGAAACAAATAAATCGCAGTAACAAAGCAGCCCTCTGCGAGGTCCCGGAAATTGCCTCTAATTTCCTGTGAACTCGCGAACGGAGCAGAAAACGATCCGACCTGACGCCGATACTCGCGATCGTGGTTCGTTATACTCCTCGTTTCCGTTTGCAGCGCACGATCCGCAATCCTGATGATCTCGTCGCGCACCCGTCATCAGCTTACGTTCGACGAATTAACCGGTATTCATAATTCAAGGTTTTATCGACGCGTATCGGCTCGCGTATTTCGCTGAAGGGGGACAGTTTCAGAACGGGGAGAAAGGAAGTGCCGGGGTGCCATGTGACGGCCACCGCGGAAACTATAGCTTATGCAACGCGGCTCGCAGCCAACCGTATCTCACCTTCCGTACTTTCATTATCAGTCACCATAGATCACCGCGAGCCAACGTCAATGACGTCGCATCCGTTCATCCCTCATCGCGAGCCGTCGCTCGGCGAATCGCGATCCAGCCCATCGGTGCTCTGTGCATCGATATCGATAACGTTCGCGAGACCACGATAAACCGTGGATCGTTAACTCTTCGCCACTGTAAGTGAACCTCCAGATCACGTTTTTTTTTATCGAGTTTCACATTTGAAAATTTCGTTAACGTTTTACGTTACGTTCGTCGTCGCGAAAGAAGATGCGGAATGATTTTTTTTAAATTTTAACCTACCATCAACGCCTTGCGCTTGGCAACTGGTTGCGCGTACCATAACGAGTGACCGAACCGTATACGATAATTCGTCGCTTCCTTTTTCTTTTGAACTTCGTCGGTATGATATCACTGGATAGAAATTTAAGAGGTAATAAAGTTATCATTTGTTTTGCCTTTGGGTTACATTTAAATATACTTGAAACTGAGAAAATGTTGCAATTTGGGATAAAAAATTCACGACGTGCGTGGCACGTCATTCCAGCGCAAGAGGTTAACGACTCGATATCAACGATTTCGAACGAACGACAAAGGACAGGTCAGCACTTCTTGTCGATCATTATCTTGTATTTATCGCATACAACGAATCGTCTTCTACTTTACGTTGGCAACAAGTCCTAACGTCCAAACCGTACCGTGCTCTCCCCACAATCATTATGTCGGGAGCGTTTACTATTGTCACCTCGAGTCACTCATTATTTTACGAGTTCAAGGTATAATCCAGCAGTTAAGTTATTTTAACATTTGTATAAATTTAACAAAGATAACTTTGATTGAATATCTTACATTTATACTGAAAAATGAGTCATGCATAAACACGATACTTCTAAACGAAATTAATAAAAAATGACGAGAGAACAAATTAATTAGGAAACTCTCCCAAGAGAGTTAACTAGCACTGATCTTAACTCTTTTTTGT